GACAGTGTGCCACCGTTATTATAATACCAATCGTTTCAAATAACGACTGCATTGAGACAAAAATATATTCAATTCCTACACAAACTCATAAAACTTATTAATAATAATAAGTTAATTTAATTAAAAATTTAATTTAATTTAAATTAATTTACAAAATTGAAGTCAAAACCAGTGGTGGGAAGCATTTCGTCGACAATCCCCATGTCTTTCGAGAATCGGTTTAGCATTTGACCTATAATTATATGGATATAATAATAATAATAATTTATAAGGTGTAATGTAATTATCATAGTGATCCAGGACATTTTGATTAATTAAATGTTATTGAGTAAATGTAATGTTTGTACTTGTATTACCATACTTATTTATTTTCTAACAAAATTACTATCTTAATGATTTTAAAAAGTGATATAATTTCACAAACTTTACAAACAGACTATAAATTATTGTTACGCTTACCGACGGGGTTGTTGTCAAACACGGCTATCGGCGCCCGTAATAGACGCGAGAATATACTGTTGTGTAGATTAACGGACGCCCGCATACACATCATGAACCACGTGGTCGACCGCATTAGCGCCGTCACAAACAGAGCCCCAATTAGTCCCGAATAGATGTAGACGTAATAATTTCGTGTATCATGGTCAATTACACTAGCTATTTGATTTTTGTCAGTCCTGAATGCAAACAATAATTTACATTTACAATTTTATAGATTCAGTATATTTGTAATATTAGATTAAATTTATATAAAATATTAATCACATCGACCTATTATATTTATCATGAAGGATATACAATAAAGCTTTTATTTAATATTGACCTAATATCAAATAATACAAATTTACAAGCTTAAACTCCCTTACCATTTAGTTAGCCATATATCGGAGTAATGTAATATACCGTGAGATATCAATGTCGAGAACAGGGTAATCGTGAACAGTATGGGTCCGGCGCCGGCTTTAAAGTATTCATAGTAGACGTGCCCCCCGATAGAGCCCACCTCCCGGTTCTCCTCCTGAATC